CAGATTTCTCTTGCGAGTGCCATTTGTGCTTATACTGTTCTCAGGTAAATCCAACAGAGGCCACTTTCTACTGACTAACTGACTGACTGACTTACTAATCGACCAATCTCCCCACCCTCCCCCTTCCATAAACCCAACCAATAGTATTTTAAAAAGCATCGATTGACCCGCCCACCCCCTTCCTTCAACCCAACCACAGTTTTTAAAAGCAATCCAGAAAAAGAAAAGAGAATTACCACATTTTCAACTCCACACAGAAATGTCAACTGACCCAGTCAGGACTCAATCCAACGATCTTCTTACTGTGAGGTGACAGTGCTAACCACTGAGCCACCTTGCTGCCCTATAAACACACATACACACACATAAATAAATAAATAATATATACATATTATTCAATTTGTTTATTGTTTTTTATACATGATTCACGCCCCTTAGAAAATCCCCCAATCAATCTTAATTACTTCTTTCCAAATAAAGCTATTCATGTCATTTGGTGAATTCTATTGCGAGTCATTCATTCATTTTATTGTCGGCTTAGTCCCTTTATTAATTCGGGGTCACCACAGCGGAATGAACCGCCAACTTATCCAGCACGTTTTAACGCAGTAGATGCTCTTCCAGCCGCAACCCATCTCTGGAAAACATCCACACACACACACACACACACACACACACACACACACACACACACACACACACACACACACACACACACACACACACACACACACACACACACACACACACACACACACGTCTTTGGTTGGTGGGGGAAACCGGAGCACCCGGAGGAAACCCACGCGAATGCAGGGAGAACATGCAAACTCCACACAGAAACGCCAACTGAGCAGAGGTTCGAACCAGCGACCTTCTTGCTGTGAGGTGACAGCACAACCTACTGCACCACAGCTTCGCCCTATTGTGAGTCAATGAAATCGTTAAATTTATAACGGGGATTTCGTGGGTCTCTTCTTTGTGGTTATTTGGAGTTTCTGCATAAGAGCGCCCCCTGGCTTTCGGATGAGATTTACTACTGATCACACAACCATGCTTCCATGAAAAGACATGCTTAACAAATGCCATTTTACGTTTGTAATTTAATAATTTAATTAATTTTGAATAATCACAAAGACTTAACAGTGGTTTTTTTTTTGTTTTTGTTTACTACAAATAAAAAAAAAAGAAAAAACATTCCTGTAGTTAAATCTAGGCAACCAGAAAATTCATTAGGGTTTCGCTGCACTTACCAGAGTTTACCCATGCAATTTGTAGTAAGACTGTCATTATACAAATGGTAATCAATGCAGTAATATACAAGTTTACTACACGTCTACTATAATAAAACCTTTTGCATCGCACTTTATATCTAAATACTAATATGTATATTATTTTCTTTATTTTAATACCAGTTCTGTTAAATCACTGCATTATAAATAACAAAAAACCATAAAATATTTTAAAATAATTATTAATTTAGAAATTTCAAACATGTTTATTATAAAAATGTGCATTCTTGCCATTGCATACTGTGAACTATCTGTTTTTTATTATATCTGAACAGAACAATAAGCACCATATCATTAAGCCTGAGGAGCATAAATAAACATTAAAAGTAACACATGCATAGCTACTAACTTTAATCTCATATTGTCTTTAAATCGAACAAAAGATCTGTATGTTGAACCAGTGACTGCAAAAAAATCTGTATGGGCATGAATGAATCATCAAATGGTGTCATGCACAGTTATTGTTTTAGTGAAATCAGTCTATTACATGTACCATCCGTGTTCGTGAATGCCAGAACAAATTCATCCTCTCAAAGATGGTAGGCATCTGGCTCTCCACCAAAATCCACACAGCATAAAGTAAATATTCACCAGACATAAACACAAGGAGTATTGAAATGCTCACAAACTGTGAAAAAAAAAAAAAAACTTTCAGAATAGGGAGTTACACAAGAAAATAATGGCATTTCTGCTGGATAAGGAAGGCTTTTGGATAATGCTGCTCTAGAGACCCAGCTGAGCAGAAGATGAAAACATTCTCAATGGAGCTAAAAATCTACTCCACTTTCCAGTTGTGTGAATTTCATTATGGTTCATTATGCAGTTTCACTGAACTGTCCATGCAGTTTAAAAAGCCCTAAAGGGATAGTCCACCCAAAATAATGAAAAATCACTGTTGATGTACTCACCCTCAGGCTATCTAAGATGTAGGTAACCTTTTTATCTCCCTTTTGTTGAACATTGAAGGCACTTTGAGAGCCTGACAAATATATACCAGCCATGCACAGTTGATAACTGTGGCTTTAAAAAGAAGTGAACAACAATCTGCATCATTTACATTAAAGTAAATGTAAATTTTTTTAAGTGTACTTTTACATTATTTCCTTAAATAGCCTTTGCAGACTGTCCTGAGTGCTTTTGGACAATATGAGCTTCTTGTCACATAATGACATGCATCAAATGTGGAAAATCTGTCAAATATCAATCTATGTTTGAGATAGCATGATACAGTTGAAGTCAGAATTATTAGCCCCCCTTTAAATTTTTTTTTTAAATAAATATTTCCCAAATGATGTTTAACAGAGCAAGAGTTTTCAGTATGTCTGATAATATTTTTTTTCTTCTGGAGAAAGTCTAATTTGTTTTATTTCGACTAGAATAAAAGCAGTTTTTAATTTTTTAAACTCCATTTTAAGGACAAAATTATTAGCCCCTTTAGGCAATTATTTTATATTATATATTATATTATTAATTATTAGATTATTATATATTAATAATTTTTTTTCTTGATAGTCTACAGAAGAAACCATCATTATACAATAACTTTCCTAATAACCCTAACCTACCCAGTTAACCTAATTAACCTAGTAAAGCCTTTAAATGTCACTTTAAGCTGTATAGAAGTGTCTTGAAAAATATCTAGTCAAAATTTATTTACTGTCATCATGGCAACGATAAAATAAATCAGTTATTGGAGATGAGTTATTAAAACTATTATGTTTAGAAATGTGTTGAAAAAATCAGCTCTCTGTTAAACAAAAAACAGGGGGGCTAATAATTCTTCAACTGTAGGTAACTGTACTTTTTATATATGTTGCAGCATCAATATATATATAAGAATCACTTTGTAAACAAACATTATATTTTGTATCAGCTTACTGTATAAAGCATTAATCAAAGCATTGGATTAATACAGTGAGTAACAATGTAAATATATTCAAATATAATAATGTAATATATTTCTTATATTTGTAACTTTAATAAGGTATTGGACAACTCGGTGGAGCAGTAGGTAGCGCTGTCGCCTCACAGCAAGAAAGCTGCTGGTTCGAGCCTCGGCTGGGTCAGTTGGCATTTCTGTGGAGTTTGCATGTTCTCCCCGCATTCGCGTGGGTTTCACCCGGGTGCTCCGGTTTCCCCCACAAGTCCAAAGACATGCGGTACAGGTAAATTGAGTAAGCTAAAATTGTCCGTAGTGTATGTGTGTGAAGGAGGGTGTGAATGAGTGTTTCCCAGTGATGGGTTGCAGCTGGAAGGACATCCGCTGTGTAAAACATATGCTGGATAGGTTGGTGGTTTATTCCACTGTGGCGACCCCAGATTAATAAAGGGTCTAAACCAAAATGAATGAATGAATGAATAAGGGATTGAGACCTACAACCCAATATTTCAGTGAATTTAAGACTTTAAGATCTAAAATTTAGTTTTTGAAATTTAAGACTTTAAGACCCAGCGGATACCGTGAAATTAGTATCTATTGGGTCGATATTGTACCATAAAGGTACACATTACTACCTAAAAATTAACAAAAGTGCCCCAGCAACAGATTTAGTATTTTTAGTGATTAAAGCCATTTCAAATGCTTAAATTTGCATGTGTATTTCTGTGATCGATTTATATGGACAAAAAATGACTCCAAACCAATACTGATTGATTTTTCTAATAAATAAATTCCTATAATAAATAGCAGCATATATTGATCATATGATTGGAAATTAAACAATAATTTTAGAATGTTTTAAGTGTTCCTCTCCTTTGGCTTTGCTGGCAGCACTCATGCTGAAATGAGCAAAGCCTGATGTTCTCCAAGACTTGTGATTTTCCACTTCAGTGCAAACAACGACATCATATCACTATTTTCAAAAATAATATTTTTCAAGGTAAACAACGACTATTGGAGAGTATTTTTTTAGAAAGCAAAATTTAAAAAATATACTATTTCAGTCTTTAAGTGTCATTGATGTTTCTTCATAAAGTAATTAATTGTGAAATTTACTATAAATCGCTGAGTGAATAAAATTTTCTATTTCAAAATACAAAACCTTCAGCTTATTTCCACGTTTTGCTTCCAAGATTTGTAACGATATCCTATACATTTCCCAAATTAAATTATCCCATATGATAAAGTTGATAAATATAACCAGTCTTCTACTAGTTGTGCCAGCGTTAGTACTGTTGAATATTTGACATTTGTTTAACTTCACCAATAATTATAGGCTGTTATTCTTTATTCCTGCTCACATTTTAATTAGATTCTTGTTCTACCAATAAAGTCTAATCTAATAAATATTAATGACATACTACACCATATATATTTATGAAATGCAAGCAGTCTTTCACAAAAGCCAGTGTGAAGTGTAATCTGCACATGAACAGGCACCTTTTTCTCCCTTTCAAAGTTGATTAACAGAATCAACAGGTGGAAACACCAGACTGGCTCTCTGCCTGCATTCACAATGCATCACATTAGCAAAGTAATGAAGGCATAGATGCGGAGACAGGTTTGATGGATGCTTATGATTATTACCCACACCACACACAACTCAAGGTGTCCTACTGACCAAGATTTCTCGCTTAAAATGAGAACAGCGCAACAGAAAGTGATTCACGTGTCATAACAAGACTGCACTGACATAATAGCATCAGTAATGCAAATCATCAGCACCGTTTGATGGAAACCATCATAGTAAAATCTGTTTAAGCGGCACCTACTGTGGACTCTTTGGGTAGAAAGGCAGAGTGACGTGACTGAGGTCTTGGATATCAAAGGCTGTGGGTTCGGCTGAGATCGCCTGTCTCTTGGTCCTCTGGTGCTCCTGAAGGGCACTCTGCTTGTGGACTTGTTGAGTTGCGGGTCTTATCACGGATCGGTACTTGTCTAACTCATTCTGTAGCTTCTGTATGAGTTCGTCTTTCTGGTCGAGCTCCAACTCCAGCTCGTCGATAAGCGCGTCTCTCTGTCTCAATTCTTCAATCTTCTCCTGTAACGCGTACTGGAGATCGCGTAAAGTGCCCATTTCTCCCCACAGTCAGTGCTCCTGCAGCCGTTACCAACTTGGATAACGGTAAATCCACGCTCTCAGACAAGAAAACCGCTTTAGTTCGTGTTTTTTTCCGAGAACGTCCTTCAGATTTCGCCGTGTAGATCCACCGGCGTGCTTTCGGGCTAGTTAAAGCGGAGGAATGAGCGGGGAAACACCCACGGCGTCTGCAAACATCACATTCGGGAGCCGAAGTTTCACAGGGCATTAATTTCTTGTCCAAATACGTCAGTCGCAGCTGTGGTGCGCGTCGAGCGCGAGTGTAACGCCATGAGCGCGCAGTGAACGCGAGTCCCCGATGAGCCAATGAGGGAAGACGCGAGCGCGCACCTGTAGCGGCCGCGGAGAGCTTTCATGTGCGCTCCCGTATACACGAGCACACAGCCACACTTTTACCTCAACAAATGCTCCGTTTTAAAGGGATAGTTCGCTAAAAACATGAAAATTCTGCCATTATTTATTCACTCTTTACTTGTTAGAATCCGGTTTGACTTCTGTTAAACACAAAGAGGGTATTTTAAAGAAAGTTGAATACCTGAACACCTAAACCTAAACATTACACTTCCATGGTAGGAAAAAATACAATGGAAGTCAATGGTTACAGGTTTTCAGCTTTCTTTAAATATCTTTCTTTGTGATTAACAGAAGTCAAAGAGGTTTCAAAGATGTAAAGAGTGAAAAAAGATAATTTGAAGAATGTTGGAAACTTGTAACCATTGACTTCCATAGTATTTGTTTTTTCTACAATGGAGGTCAGTGGTTACAGCTTTATTCTTTAAAATATCTTATTTTGTGTTAACAGAAAAAAGAAACCCTTAAAGGTCTGCAATCAGTTGAGAGTGAGAAATAGTGAGCAAATTTTAATTTTGGGGGTGAACATTCACTCTTTACATCTTCAAAATTTGAATTCAGTTAAACACAAAAGAAAATATTTAGAAGAATAGTGGAAACCTGAGCTACCTATTGACTTCCATGCTTGTTTATTCCTACTAAGGGAGTCAGTGGTTCCAGGTTTTCAGCTTTCTTTAAAATATCTTCTTTTGTGTTAAATAGAAGAAAGAAACTCATAAGGGTTTGGAACCACGTAAGGGCAAGTAAATAGTGAGCAAATCAATTTTTGGGGTGAACTATCCCTTTAACTTATTAGTCGATAACCTTTTTTTCAGCCATTTAGGAATTTTTAAAGAGCCTTTAGTGTGTGTATATAACTATAAATAATATAGGTTTAAACACAACCTTTATTTATGTCTATGCGCAACTCAAAAATAAACAAATATTAAGCATCACATGTTAGCAAGCCCATAAATGAAGAAAGTACAATTTATTTAAATTCTGATAAATAAACTCTTCTTTTTAGTGAAACGTAACACAATTTAAAATAAACAAAAATTTTACTATTATAAAAATAACACAGTTACTTCAAATAATTAAAAAAGTATTCTGTAACATTTTAATTTTGGCTAGTTTTAAAAGAAAAAAAAATTGCATTTTACTAATATTGAGAAAATAAAGGGCAAATAAATTGCACAGACACATTGGTCGAAACATCCTTTTATTATAAACGTTTTGATTCATTTTGATGTAAAAAAATTACAACAAAATGGGAATTGTGTTAGTTTTTTTTTTAAAAGGAAACTGATTTCTAATAAAGGTTACTTTTTAAACAGTAAAATATTGTAATGTAATGTAATGTGTATTTATATAGCGCATTTATTGTGTATTAGCGATACACCCAAAGCACTTCACAATGATACAATGATGAGGGGGATCTCTCCACACCCCCACCAGTGTGCAGCATCCACTTGGATGATGCGACGGCAACCACAGGACAACAGCGCCAGTGCGCTCACCACAAACACCAGCTATTGGTGGAGTGAAGAGACAATTTGATGAATGGGGATGACTGGAAGGCCATGATCGGGACTTTGGCCAGGACTCTTTACGAGAAGTGCCATGGGATTTTTAATCACCACAGAGAGTCAGGACCTCGGTTTAACGTCTCATCCGAAAGACGGTGCCACTGATAGTGTTTTGTCCCCTTCACTTTTACTGGGGCATTATAGGACTCACATAGACCTCAGGTTGAGCGCCCGGTACTGACCAGACTCAGCCCTGCTTAGCTTCCCTGAGCTGCAGGGTGATATGGCTGTTATTGAAGAAAGACAGCTGGAGAGCCACGTATTTTTGGCAAACTGAAAACATCCCACAGAAAAAGTGACATGCATGTTAATTTTGGTGTCAGATATTTTTCAAGTAATGTACTTGTTTTCAGATCTTTTTGAGAAAAAAAAGCTTTGGCATGTTTAAGATAAAACTCATGACCAGATAAACCGGATGTTTCTCCCAACTTGCATTATTTCTGTCAAATTTACTCTCAAACATTTAATATGATATTAAGAATCACTGTGATTAAAAAATAATAACACATGTGCAATATGTAATCACATTAATTGATGCGTTTAATTTGATTATGTATAAGATTTGGGCTGGGTTAAGCATCTGCATTTCCTTAGCAATCCCCTTACAGTTTTTTATTTGTTCATGTGCACTTTAAAAGTGTAGATAAAACAAATTATTTCTTGCAAAACATATTTCAAAAATCAATTTGAATCTTCTTCCAAACTTTACTGGGTAACTGGGTGTTTCAAGTCGTTCCTGATAGAAGCTATTTTTATGTTGCTGAATATCAACAAATACAATTTATTTCCATTCATCATCATTCATTTTCCTTCAGCTTAATCCCTTTATTTATCAGGGGTCACCACAGTGGAATAAACTGCCAACTTATGCAACATATGTTTTACAAAGTGGATGCCCTTCCAGACGCAACCCAGTACTGGGAAACACCCATACACTCACTTACACTACAGCCAATTTAGCTTATTAATTTCACCCATAGCGCATGCCTTAGGACTGTGGGGGAAATCGGAGCACCCGGAGGAAACCACAGGGAGATCATGCAAACTCCACACAGAAATGCCAACTGACCGAGTCGGGGCTCGAACCAGCGAGCTTCTTGCTTTGAGGAGACGGTGATAACCACTGAGCCACCGTAACGCCTTTATTTCCATTCATTCGGGGTTTTTTTATTAATGTGTAGGAATGTCATAAATAAGTTTGACCAAAAGTAATTAAAAAGAAGAAGAGGTTAACTAAAATGTGTAATCCAGATTATTTTACAAACCATAATATTCATAATTTTCCCAGAAATACATTGTTTGTCATTATTTTGCATGTATGTTTTTTTGTTTTTTAAAGTAAACCCTCTTAAAATTGTAATATTTTATATTTCTTCTGCTTGAAGCTGTCAAGTAGTTTAATTAATTATTACACAAACAGAAGCAATTGAATCTCATGCATCTCAGGATGTTTTTTTTTATCTTCATATAGTAAAAAATAAATGTGTAAATTTTGCAGTAAAAACAGCAGCTGTGGTTGCCAGAATTTAACCGCTAAAAAGTAATGTCATATGACAGGAATGTAAGATAAGTTAAAAATTTTACGGTAGATGACCATATTTCATATTTTTTCTTTATCATACACTTTTGAAGTATAACATATACACAACTTAAAAGTGCTGTATTTAAGTTGATACCCCGTGGTTAAACACGGTATTGCACTACTGGTTCAAAACACATAAAAGTGCAGGTTGCCAGATTGACGACATGAACAGGAGCAAGCCTGACTATCGAGCCTAAAGGCTGATTTAAACCGTGTTCTAAATAAAAGCAGTGACACATGATAGAAGAAATATATTTTCCATATTAAAATGTTTTTTTATTTTTAGTTTATATTTTAGAAACTGTTTCTATTTCCTGCAGCTGAACAACCAACACAATCTCACGGCAATTCGTAACTTTTTCATTTAGTGGCTAATTCGTATGAATTCGTACGATCTAATTCGTACAATTTAGTACGATTTGCTTATCCCCCAATGACGGTTGGGGTTAGGGGTGGGGTCAGGTGCCACGCCCCCTTTTTAAAATCGTACCATTTCGTACGACTGAACTCATACGAATTCGTATGAATTAGCCACTAAACTGGCAAAACGTAAAATACTTACGTTTTCTCGTGAGATCAGGCTGGAACAACAGAAAACTATGACAATGATCTTCTCAGGTACACCACATATGCTTTATTCAGTGTTAAATGCTAATAATGTGAGTTTGAATGCCATTTTACATGACATTTATTGCCATACTACTGAAAGCAGCAGCGGATCACCTCAGATCTTGACAATAAAATAAACCATATGAAACTGAACTTTAGAACTGTGACTCAGTGCAAACCAACACATGTCAGTGATTCAGCATCTACATTTAATAATGTTAAAAAGGTTCAATATGTATTAGTTATAAGTTATCTTACCATTTCGTTGGAGTGCAGTGATGCCCCATTCACACTAAGCTTCAGCGTCAATGCTTGACAGAAGGCGTGTCTGACGTTGGGGCTGACGCGATCGCCATAGCAGCGTCAGCCAATGAAATTAGTCAGCAATAGGCTACTGTCTGAGCTGGTGTATTTGCATAAAGCGATCTGATTTGCTGACGCTTTCTGCAGCGAGAAACGCCTCTGAAGCGGCGCCGACGAATCCACAATGCAGTTCGGCAATGCCTGACACACCCATTCAAAGTGAATGGGAAGTGTTGACGCTGACGCCCTGTGTGAATGGGGCGCGAGTGCACTATTCTGTGCTTCTAAATGGCTGTATTTTAATTTCCTAATCACAGCTCCAAGCTCATCTAATGTTTACATTTGAAATATTTATATTATTTGTTAATTAATAACCTCATGTGGAACTCTGAATCTGCGTCTCATTTTGAAATCTGCTACTGTCCACCAGAGGCTCCATTTCAGATGCACACTTTGGAGCCTTCCTGAATGAATGAATGAAATATGTTGTTCTCCACCAAGGCAACCTGGGTTGCTGAAATATAATTGGCTAAAATGTTATTGGGCGGGTTAAAGGGACTAAAACAAACACAGCCGTTACGGCCCGTAATGCACATTTTCAAAGCAAAATAACTGACTTTAGCATTTTCTTTTCAGATAAACAAAAATGTTCACTTAGCATTTCTTAAATATCTGCAAACATATCATGGTATTGTTTGCAATAGAAGAGTCAAAAACTTACATACAGCACCTTAAAGTTTGTTACACAGACAAAAACACAGCCATGAGCAGGTTTGAGT